CAAATCAAGTGCTGACTGATGGGGACACAGAACATCTAGAATCCTCATGTAGTCCCATGGGAATGCATAATGGTCCAAGACATTTTGCAAAACATTTAATCAGTTTCTTAAAAAGTTAAACACCCTTACCATATGACCCAGCAATCTTACTCCTGGGTATTTACCCAAGTGAAATGAAAAATATGTCCAAACAAAAAGTTTGTAAGTGAATGTTTACAGCAGATTTATTCATATTTGTTCCAAACAGGAAATCACCCAAATGTCCTTTAATGACTAGGTAGACAAATTATGGTTCTTCCTTACAATGGAGAACTATTCAGCGTAAAACGGAATGAACTGATACAGCAACATGGATGGATCTCAACTTCATTATGCTAAGTGAAAGACGCTAGACTCAAAATATTGGATATTGTATGATTCCACTTACATGACATTCTGTAAAAGGGAAAACTACAAGGATAGAAAACAAATCAGTGGTTGCTGGGAGTGAGGGTAACTAAAAAGGAGCATAAGAACACTTTTTGGTGATGATGGAACTGTTTTATACATTGACTGGGGTAGTGGCGGTTACATAAGTGTATGAGTGTATGAATTTGTCAACATTGATAGAACTGTACTCCTAAAAAGAGTATTTTATTGTATGTATTTTTTACCTCAATAAACCAAAGAAAACAATTTAGTGTGGAAATTTGAAAATAAATAAGCATTTAAAATATGCATTATTGCCCTAGCTGGTTTGGCTCAGTGGACAGAGCATCGGCCTGTGGACTGAAGGGTTCCGGGTTTGATTTTGGTCAAGGGCACATGCCCAGGTTGCTGGCTTGGTCCCCAGTACAGGGCATGCAGGAGGCAGCCAATCAATGATTCTCTCTCATCATTGATGTTTCTATCTCTCTCTCTCCCTCTTTCTTCCTCTCTGAAATCAATAAAAATCTTTAAAAAATAAAATATGCATTATGTTTCAATATATACCTAAAAAATAAGAATGAAAGCCAACAACCTCACTATCTCTGTGGCAAAAACAGGTTACCTTCATTGCTAGCTTAAGATCAGGAAAAGGCTACTGTGTTACCATGGCTGTAAGCTATTATTGAAACATCTAATAATATTAAATTATGACTCACATGTAATGTAGGGGTAGAGTGAGAAACAACCTGACAAAATCACCCAAGGACTTTTCATTTTTAGGGACCTTGCCCATAATGTTTTCTTCATGAACGTAAGAGATACACTGTGATGCTAGTGAACATATACTTAAGGAATTAAAAGAAGAAAAGTTAGAAGCTTTTTGGCTAAACTTGAAGTTAATTCTAAAACCTGTATGCTAGTTCTAAGGCTGTTGAGACTCCTTTTTTCCCCTTTTGTTTATAACAGAAATACATGGATTGCTAAATCAATGACATATGGGAGGCCGACCCCTTCTCTACCTGTTGACTTTCCCGTGACATCATGATTTTCTAGTTTAAAAAGTAGACAGCAGACAGATTGAGAGTAGGTTTTAGAGTAAGGAGAGTTATTTGCTGTGGTTCTCAATTTAGCAAGTTGTGATAATTTATTCAAAGTGATGTTAAGGTAGAGATATAAATCTTAACAAGCATATACGGTATATTTTAAAACGATATTAAAGATGGGTTGCCACAGAGATTGCAATGCATCTACCTAACAACCAGTAAAAATTAAACTCACATTTACTGCCACTGGGTTAGTGCTTCCCATGTGCTAAGGAGGCGCTACACAGTCAATCCTCCAGGATGTCAGCTCTCACCACTGTCTGCCTTGCTGTTTATGACCCAAGAATCCCAAATGAACCAGAACTCCTGAAAGGCACCACGCTAGTTCGTGCTTCTGTGTCTTTGTCCATTCATTCCTCCATTCCAAATATATTCTGACTATCTGTAACCCACCCCAATATTCGTTTGATGTTGTTTCTGTAAATGCTGACTCTGACTAATATGTAGCTTATAGATAAACAGCATATTTGTATAAGTATCCTAGGAACTAACTTCAGAAGATACAGACTCCAACCTTCAGGCATCCTAGTTCTAGGAGAATTGCTGATCTTCAACCATAAAACCAAGATGACATAAAACCAGGATAATGAAAATCAGGATAATGAAAACCAGGATGACCCACACCAGACCCTCATGTGACCAGTTTCGAGGTCCTTATTGGAATGGACTCTGCTGGTCTGAGACCCTTTCAACCCTCTCCCTTTAATCTCTTTGTTCTGCTTTCCTTCTTCCTCTGTATAAAAACCTCGGCCTGCACTGAGATGTGAAGATGGCTTTTAGGACAAGACTCCCTCATCTTCCTGATGGTCAGCACCTGAACAAACCTTTTTCCTCTTTCACAAGCACCTGTCTCAGAAGTTTGGCTTTTGTGGCAGCAGGTAGCCAAACCTTGGTCTCGGTTACATATGTACTATGTGATTGTTACTGATTGAACTGTATATTCCCCGACCAAAACTTATATGGTGAAGTTCTAGTCCCATGTACCTTAGAATGTAACCTTACTTGAAAAGAGTCATCGCAGATGCCATTAGTTAAGCTGAGGTTACAGTGAAATTTGTCCCTTAATCATATACAAATTATGTCCTTATAAAAAGTGAAAATTTGGACACAGACACACATACCTGTGAAGAAGAAAAAGGCAAAAAACAAGGTGATGTGTTTACAAGCCAAGGAAGCACAAGGATTCCCAGCAAACTACCAGGAGCCAGGGGAGAGCCATGGAACAGGTTCTTCCCCACAGCCCTCAGAGGAACCAACCCTGCTGACATTTTGATCTTGTACTTCTAGCTTCCAGAACTGTGAGGTAGTGAATTTCTGTTGTTTAAACCAAACCAAAACAAAACCCCCCAAAACAAACAAAAGAACTATACGAAAATAATTTTCCTACTAAGGAGATTCTGCAAATGCATGAGAAGCTGCAGCAACCGAATTCCCCTGAAAGGGGCTGTGGTTGGGTGGTGGTTTATAACACTGCCCCTGTGTGGGCCAGGCCCTTGGCTGCCTCCCCCACCCCTCCACACACAATATACTTTTTTCCCCCCTGACTGATGAGCACATCCTCATCTCCTCTGACTTTCTTAGATTTGAATCTTCAACCACTTTAAAGGGTTTACCAACTTTTAAAGCAACTAGGATAATCTTTCCCAGAAGAAAAGAGGGCCAGTTGTGGGAGGTGTGGCAGAGTAGCTTGTGGTCTTTTGGGAAATTAGCAGGCTCTTCTCTTGGCAAGGGAGCCAACACACACTCAGTGTTGGGGCATCTGGACAAGCCTAGGAGACTCACACAGCAGCTGTTACACCGATTTCCAAGCACAGGGACCTGAGCAACAACTGTCATGACATTTTCCCGGTGAACTCTTACCTCTGAGTCTCACTGATGTGTCTAACACACGCTGTGAACATCAACCAGTCAGACTCAAAGCCAAGACTCAAAAATTGCTTTAAAATGGCAGTAAATGTTTAAGACATAATTTCTGTGACTTGGTCATTAATATGTTTATATCTTAATCCTCATTTCTTTTCATATCCCTTTTCCTCAATTATTTTTTCCCTGCTTGGTGAATGTTTCTGCAGCAGCTACCTCTAATCATTAAGATAGTTTTGTAGGCAAATCAGGCCCCAGATCTTAGACAGCAGTCAATATGGATGGAGGGATTTAAAAAATATCATTCATTATATGTACACTAGAGGCCTGGTACATGACATTCGTGAACTGGGGTGGGGGTGGGGGGTCCCTCAGCCCAGTCTATGCCCTCTTGCAGTCCAGGACCCATCAGGGGGTGTCCGCTGCTGCAGAGGTGGGAGAGGCTCCTGCCACTGCTGCTGTGCTCGCCAGCCGTGAGCCCAGCTTCTGGCTGAGTGGTGCTCCCTGGTGGGAGTGCATTGACCACCAGAGGGCAGCTCCTGTGTTGAGCGTCTGCCCCCTGGTGGTCAGTGCATGTCATAGCGACCGGTCATTCCGCCGTTCAGTCGATTTACATATTAGCCTTTTATTATATAGGATTTAATTTCCCATTATCCTACTTAAATTTCCCATTGTTTAAATAAAAACGATCTCTTTTTCTTTCTTTTTTCCAGGAAAGAGTGGTTAGATTTACATATTCAGAGGGGTAAAAAAAAATACCTATGTATGATGATAATTTGTACTATATTATTCTATGATAACTCAAAGGTCCAAACACCCTAAGTGTATCAGATATCAATTGATGTTTTCAGGTATAAATCCAGCTGTGAATCTTTGATTTGCTTCCCCCACTGCCAGGGCTCAGCTTTCCCCTCTCTTCAATCCCTCATTTCCCACAGTCTGTGTTCCATTCCCTTCTTCAGAAGCCCACAGCATCTGCCTCCTTCTAGTAATTGCTGGAAATACACATTTAACTTGAGTGTGCAAGGTATCTGGAATTCATTAACAAAAGCACACATATTGACTTATTTGTGAGTTGCCAGTTCCCCCAAATTCTAGTACTTCATCCATCCCATCAACAACATGTCTTAACTATATGCCTAGTGTGCTCATGGAACCTGACTAGATCCCAGGTATAATCCAGAAGAAGTGGAAACAATGTAGCTTATGTTTTCATTGATCTTGAAAATAAACAAACTCCCCATGCTTCTGTAAATCAGTCAGCATGCTTTTCATTTAAAAGTTCTGAGATTACAAAGCACCTGTGTCACAATCAGGATTTCTGCCTGTTTGCTGCGCAGCTCAATTTCATTTGCAATCCTTTCCATCGCCTAGATTTTCTTCCTGCGTTTCCTACCTAGAGGGTGCCTTTCTCAACGTAATTTCTTTATCTGCGGTTTTCGCCAGGTTCTACCCTCCCACACACAGTCATCACACTTTCCTGTCCTAGCAGCTTAGCTTTTCAGTTGTCATTTCTTCTTCTTCACCTGCCCTGCAAATGGCTCTCATTTCACGTCCAACGACTACACACATCCCTTTCCTAAAAAGCAAAACGAAACAACAACAACAACACGCCTGGGCCCGTACCTGCTGCATGCCTTGCATGGTCTGCTGCAGGAACTGGAGCTGCTGGTCCTTGGTGAGGTTGTCTTCTGTTCGGAAAAGCTGTTCTTTTTCTTGCTTCAGCAGCTCCACTTCATTCCTGTAGGCATCCAGCTGCCAGCGGAGACTGTCATTCTCCTCTTTAAGGGCGTAGGCCTGAGCCGCCAGGGCTGGGGGGCAAACAATGAGCTCAGGTGAGTCACCTTCCTGCTTAGACCGACAGGGCCTTCTATGGGAAAGGGACCCTCGCCCAAACTCTTACCAGGTGGTACCAGCTCAGAAGTAAAACCAAACGCCTTGTTCCAGGGCTCTCTGCCGTGGGTGAGCATCATTTCTTTTGCAATTTTCATCTACAGTGGGGCCTTGACTTACGAGTTTAATTCGTTCCGTGATGGAGCTCGTAACTCAAATTACTCGTATGTCAAATCAACAGTGAACGAGTGAGACACGTGATGCTGGGCTGATGTTGTGGCGTTCACTGTGACTTTTGCTGCGCCAACTAGCGGTGGGGTATCTGAAGCTGGCTCGTAACCTGAATTTTAGCTCGCAACTCAAAGCAAAAAATCGGCCAAGAGACGGCTCGTATCTCAAAAAACTCGTTAGTCGGGAGTCCTGTCTTACATATGAATGTTTAATGTGGGCATAGGATTAATTTCTTCCAACGTTCTGTGTCATGCCCTCTCCCCATATCCTCGGCACCCTCTCAAAAGTCAGTACGTGCTGCTCAGCGATGGCAGCATTACGTGCTGCTCAGCAATGGCAGCATTCTGCCTCCCAGGCAACAGCCCATCCACACGCTCTCCTCCAGCGCCGCCTTCTTTCTCACCCTTGGTGGCTGCACAGGGTGAGGCAGCAGCAGCAGCCCTGAGGAGGGTGGATTTATATATGCACACCGTCAGCCTCCTCTGCTGCTGGGGCAAATTGTTCTAACTCCTATCAGAATGGTAACCTCGTTCCATAGGTTTTACCAACAGTTTAAACCGCTTTTTCTCCACAAGGCCGAGTGGGTACGCGCCTACTCCTCCCTGAACCCTAAAGTTCTCTGTGTGTAGATCCAGGCCTCAGTCACATCTCCATCTACTGAGAAACGGAGACAGTCCACTCAGGCTCGTATACATCAAGCCTTCGGAAACAACGGAGACTGAATAAAAGCGGAGAATGAATGAACAAAGAGAAAATTAAGGATGGGGAACCCTCCCCCACATTGCAGCTAATTGCTTCGTGGTCTCTCCCATAGGAATGTTATTGCTTGCTGAGCACTCACCATATAATGGGCACTGGGCCACGAGCTTCCATGGCCTGACTCACTTTTACAACTACCCCCCCCCTCCCCGAAGCCTATGATGCCGGTGCTGCTGTTATCCCACTCTTTGCAGATGAGAAAAACGAGGCATGGAAGAGGCAGAGAACTTGTCCAGTCCCTCAAAGCGAGCAGCACAGCGATCACGCCCAGGCTGCTGGCTCCGTCTTCGCTTTGAGTCACTGGGCTGCTGTGCCGTCCAGATGTGTTCGGTTCTTATCAGATTGTTTGAAACCAGTCTTGGACGCTCCCCTTTCCCTCTCCCACCAGTTTTCCACACTCTTTTCTCCCTCCCACAGAAAATTCATTCTCTACTCTTGGAAGCAAGAGAAAAGTGGGAGAAAAATGTAACAGCTTGTTATCAGTAACTTCCTCCTAGAAGTAAGCTCTGGTTTGTGGGGGCATAGTGTGGACCTACTGCACATCTGGTTCTCAGTCCATGCTCACCACCACCACCACCCCAAGCCCAGAGAGCCAGGCCGGGGGCAGCCTCCCAGAGGCTCTACCTCAGTGGTTCTCAACCTTGGCTGCACATTAGAATCACCTGGGCCTCATCCTCCGGAAATTCTGTTTCTTTGTTACTAATGTGGTGGCCCCACCCCATAACAAAGAAACAGAATTTCCGGAGGATGAGGCCCAGAAATCAGGATTTTAAAAAGATTCCCAGGTGATTCTAATGTGCAACCAAGGTTGAGAACCACTGCTCTACCTGCAGCTCACAGTACAAGGATGACAGGTCTGTACCGAGCGCTGTGACACCCACTGCATTCTCTCCTCAAATATCAAACATCAATTTATGTCACAAATAGTCTTACAGTTGAGTGTTTTACGGTATTCTGCTTTTCAAAATGATAATCTATGTATAGTCAACACTGAATTACTAATCAAATAGAACATGCAATTAACCAGAAAATTCCCTAGCACCAGCCATTAGGGATCAATTAGTCAACAAGCATTTACTGCATACTTTCTCTGTGCCCAGACCTGTCTGGGCATTTTGGATCAGAAAAATATATCTCTTCTCTCAAGGAGCTTAAAATGTAATAGAAAGTGACACATTTGAATGAAACTAACACATTCAAAGGAAGAGAGGGCAGTGTGCTGCCTGCCATAGAGTCAGAGCTCAATAAATGTTGGCTGAATGACTAAACAAGCAACTTAGTATCAAGGGATGTAACAAGGGAGTCACCAATGGGAGTTCAGAGAAGAGAAGGAAACAGGCAGGCTGGAATAATCAAAGTGGCTTAGAAGGATGCAAGCCAAGAACTGGGAAGGACAGCTAGTCAGGAGCCAAAGCACAAGCAAAAGTCCAGAGGCGAGAACTGAGGAGAGAGTATTTGGGGCAGGAAGCAGGGGAAGGCTGACCAAACAGGGAAGAGTCTGTGTGGAAGCAGAAAGAGGCAGGTGAACTGTGTCAGGTGATGAGAGAGGACGGAGGCTTCAGGAGTCAGAATGCAGAGATGGGCTCACTGGGGTGACCAGTTGAGCAGCACTGACGGTGCTCGGGCAGTGGGAGTACATGAGGAAACTGGTGATTTAGGATGATTGGTTTGGTGATTTAGGATGATTGGTTTGGTGATTTAGGATGAACTGGAAGCTGAAGGGAATGAATAAGGGAAATTTTATTTGGTGTATATGTGGGAGTGAAACTAAGGATCAGCTGATTTTAGAGCTAAGGATCAGCTGATTTTAGAGTTTTTAGGGACTTAGAAAACCAGAAATGGGCCAGGGTACACCCAGGAACATGAGCTAGTGTGTTTTGGCACCGTGCAGCCCAACTTCAGATCTTGTCCACACCCTGAGACACCAACTCCTGACAGTTCAGTTTCCCAAAGAGGGATGTTGTAATAGGGCAAAATTACAGAAAATGCAAATGATGAAGAAAGTGTTGGCACTACATAAGCATATTACTACATTTAGTAGCATTCAAAGACACTTAAGTCATTTCCTTAGGAAGCTCTATTTGGCCCTTTCTCAATTCAGACTGGCATTTTTATTATCATAACTGATAGCAGGTGTTTGTGAAGAAATCGATTAGTATGCAGGGATGAAAATTACATTTTCCAAATGAATTGCATAGTCTGCACGATATGCTGAAATCTGTGTAGCAAAATGCAAGCAGCTATAAAGCATGAGCCAGCAACATTATTTAAATATATTATCTGAACATAATATATATAGGAGAGTGCACCATCCATTATTTTAGGGGTTCTCTTATAAGCCTGTGAAGTGGCACTACTGACAGTTCTTATTCTTGGCTAAGCCAAGTGACCACTGTGCCTGCCAAGTAGGATACAATGTTGTTCGCATTTCTGGAATAGGAGTGTGATAGCATTGTCTATATAAAAAACCCAACACCTGTTCCTCTATCCAACCCCCTATTCCCACCCCCCAGATCAATACCATAGCCAATCGCATCAATGTTTTTATAATTGGGCATATAACTGATTTACATTCTTGATTAAATGATTTCAAGCAAGATATTTTTTAAAAAATGTGGTTACTCATGTGACAGCAAAATGGTTATCTTCTAAAGGGTGAGAAATTGTATATTGACTCCACTTAACTCCAGGCCACATGTTTGTAAACATTATTCAGCATCATGTTGCAGCCAACATTGACTCCACCCGGGAGGAAGCTAGATTATGTTTGTTGGACCGGAGCTCTAAAAGAAACAAAATCCTAATAATTTTTAACTAACATAATTTCTCAGTGTATTAAAAATTCCAAAACTCAAAAGGTCCACTCTTTCATTTCTCTTTAGTTCTTTCTGGGACACTGTATTAAATTAAATGGTTTTGAAAAATGTGTAATGAAGCTTCCATGATAAAATTTACCCTTGAGAGACTGCACAATAAATCCACTATTCAAATAAGCTTAAGGATTAAAAATAAACTACGGTATGCATCTTTTTGTAAGAATCCCAAGGAGTGCACTGTGTTCCAATAAATGGAATATTTAGCTAACAGCTACCACATGTGGATGACTGATTTTCAATTTTAAAAAAGCATACAATAAGACCCTTTAAATGTAAACTCTTCTGAACATAATTAAATCTTCCTTTGGCGATTTTAAAGGCATTGCTGAATGTAGTGATGCCTCTGGATTATCATCAATTCATTCACCATGTACCACTGTTCGAGAGGCCAGGTGCGAGGAGCTGCGGCAGACACCAGGGTAAGGCCAGGGCAGCCATCGATCGCTGTAGACTCGTCCGGGACCTTAGAAAAACTGCTACTGAAATGTTTTGATTGAATCAAAAATGAAATAACAACATTGAAAAAGCTTTGCTAAACAAGATTAAGTTACACTTTAAAAATTAGCACCGGATTACTAAAATTACCAAAGTGATACTAGTATGAAAATTGATCCAAAGATTAAATTACACTGCTAAAGAAGGGGTTTTAAAGGTATTACGTCACCTCACTGTACTCTTTCTAGATGCCACATAAACCATTATCCTTTATATTAATTATGGTCAAAGTGACCTCCTCCTCTGTCTCTTGTATTACTTATGTGTGTTTCCATGGAAACAGATAAGGGCATGCTTAACTTCTCTAAGTAAATAATCTGATGAAAGCCTTGAAATCTCTCTCTTACCGGCCTGAGCCAGCCTCAGAAAAATAATTAGCACTAAATGAAAAATGTAAGTTATTTGGGGTTATGTCCCGTAAGCTAATAGTATGTTAATATCCTTTTCATGCTCAGGCAAGAGGTAACTAACTAATAAAACACTTTAACAAATTGTTTCTAACAATATCAGGATTTCTCAAGAACAGTCTGTCTTTGTGTCTTTGGGGAACTCTGTGTTTAACATCTTCCCTCCGCTTTGCCAGATGTCCTTCTGGAACGGGGTGGAATGCCCGGGAT